TCCAGGTAATAAAATGCCGCCGATTATGAACCCCCGGTATATCGCAGGCTAGCAGTAGATGGGAGCACAGAGAGTAGCTGGCGGGTGTTCATAATCAGAACGGAGTTACAAGGCGGAATGGAAGGCAAGCGTCATAGCGGTGAGGCGCAAATTAAAATACACATGAATTAAAATTACGGCAAGTGTAAAATACTGTTTAAATGTACCAGGATAACTAATTTAGGCTGTGCATTGGTTGAAACATGATGGTGACTTGCGATATTTGATCGCGGTGCGAAATGTATGAGACGCCATTTTGTAACGGTACTTTTGCCAACGCACACAGCGGCTACATACATTACTTACATGCAAATAACACTAATAACGTGGCAATTAAATAGCTAAAAGCAAACAGCCTGGCATGATCAAATTACACTACCTATAAAACACTTTCACTACTTAAAACTAGGTAACGTTTCAACACTTACCCTTACGGGGTGCAAGACGATACGGAGGTCTCGGTGACGAGAATTAACGAAAAAACTATACGGCCACAGTGCCGGAATTATTATATTATTTTAAACTTTTTTCCAAAATGGGATTAAAATTTGCAAGCGCGTACGAGGACACAAAGCAGAGCTTGTGAACGCGGCTGCAGTGGTAGTGTGCGCCTCCCAGGGCGCTCGGGCGGAGAATGACCGGGAGCGCGACGCCGTGGAATGATACCGGCCGGGTAAAACTCTGACGCGAGAGTTGCAAAGCGCATAGAGTAACGAAGCGTCAGAGTGTTTGTTCGAAATACAATATTTTAATATTTGATTTATTATTTAATTCGTTCTTTTAGTTTACTAATTTGTTTTATTAATAGGATACCTAAGTTAATTATAGAATTATTTTTGTTAATAACTTTTATTTTATTTTTATTTAGTTTATTAAATGTTTATTTAATTTTAATAAACCGTTTAATTATAATTATGCATACATGTACGTGCAACGTTACATGGAAAGGCTGGCTTATTATATACTGGCTTCAAAGTCAGATAAAAATTGTATTGGAGCAGCAGTTTGGATTCCCAGATACAAAATAATTCTTAATTTTAAATGTCCTATTTCATCCACTTTTACTAGGCTGAGGTGGTAGGTGAGGGGCTACGGCAATTTATGAATATACATACAATCACACTTAGTCAGCGATTTTGTCAAACCAATTGCATCGTAAATATAGATTTCTTTGATCCTCCAAATTAAACACACTTTGTATAGATGTCATCTCAAGGGCATTTAGGTTTCTTTAGCGTGGATTGATATTATATTCCATGTGACATCATATACCATAGTGGCATAAATGGCAATGAAACAGTCGATTTGATGGCTCAATTGAGAATGGTTTACCATGTAATATAATTTACTCTTCGGAGTGTTATTTGCAAAGCAGAAGTTAAATAATAATTGGAATAGGATATGGAAATCCTCTCAAAATATAAAAGGTAAACACTCTTTGCTATACAATATTCCATACCTTCAAAGCCATGGTTTTTCAAATTTAATAAAGCCAACAAACATGCAAGATCAATAATTATTTGTAGACTAAGAATTGGCCATGCTTGCACACAAGTACATTTAACCAAATTGAGGATCAGGGATAGCTCCCTCTGAGAATGTGGATTAAATGATGGAACCACCGTCCATATTTAACTATCCTAAATTATTTTGTTGACTCTATGAACATCTCCCTCCAGTAGGAAGCGGTTGCTGGGTGGATACTGTGCTTACTACTGTTTAAACTTACCACAGGAGACTTATCTGATTATTTAAAGAGGCTCTTCGTACATTGTCTTAAACGCCCAGGGAAAACAGTTTCATCATCAATTTTGATGTCGAATCATCATCATTTAGTCCAGTCAAATAAGGTCTATAAAATAATACCCCACATTTTTTATATTTATGATGTGCGATGGACACAAACTATTAGATTTTAATCAAATTTGTATATCGTGTGCAGTTTGGTCCAACTTGAGAGATAGGATAGTTTTTTTGCCACTTTTTACACATTGTTTTTGTAACTTCAAAACTACATTATATCGAAAAATGCAAGGTTAAGTGCCAAAATTTTCATTTTAGACCTTATTTGACTGCACTAATTATTTAAATTATGTTTTAAAAAATTATTTATAGTGCTTACATTTAGTACTTAAGTACTATAAATAATTTAACAATTTTCAACAATATGTAAATATAAAAATGTGGGGTATTATTTTATAGAAATATTTCTAATACGAAATTTTTCTTTAAGTACAACAAACGCATTTTTCTCCCTGGATAACGACATTCGGCAGTCCTATTTTTTCTGTCATCCCATGTCTGCAAGATTTTCTTTTAATATTTATGTTCGTAAAAATTGTTTGCTGGATATGGCATGACGACGATATAACTGGGTAATTTTAGTACTAAGCACTTTAAATATAACTATATAATAATTTATGAGACACATAGGAACATGGCAGTTGTTTGTATATCCTCATAAGCAAACACATTACATTTTTCGTTATTTTGGTAGTATTTATTTTAGTATTTTCAAACATGTGTTACTTCGATATAAAAGTACCTAATCATTTTAATGTTTGAAACGGACATGTGATGAAAATAGATTCCTTCTTTCGTATTTTTTTTTATATTAACAAGAAATCTACTGTAAAAAAAACTATGCATAAAAGAATTTGTTGTGCAGGCAGCTTTATAATATCGTATGATAATGCCTGGCAGTTTTATAATCAACTACAATTTATCGTCTATTTTTGTAATACTATTACTAGTTTCAATAATGAAAAAAGAAGAAAATAATACGTAATAAAAGTCAAATAGGGGTAAAAAAAATGGGACTACACAATATTAACTAAAAGAAAGTGAAAAGTACGGTATGGAAATCACAAATCACAGTCTTTCATTTTGTACAGATTTAATTCGACAGACTGTTAAATACTTATGAATGAGTTCACATTTATTGACAGTTGCTATTAAATTCGGTAATGTTTGCACATTGACAAAGAAAATAACACGACAACAATTGTCGGGAAATGCCTAAAGTGTGGACTGTAGAAATTTATTATTAATAGAATCACTTTATATCAAATTTTTACGTATATACAGAGCTTCAGTTAGTTACCTTCACACAGATATACGTCTTGTCTTTCGCCCGTTTAAAAAATAATTAATAAATAATAATTTGCATTTACAATTACTTTACGTCCCTCGCTCACATGGTCGCCAATTCGATCTTGTGTGCTAACATTTCAAATCAGACAAATTTCAATTGATGAATGTTTATTATCCTATACCATGTGACCGAAAGAAAAATTAATTGGTAATAAATTATAGGTGAACCGACAACAATTAATTCTAAACAATTACAAATATTTCACATCAATTAATCAAGTTATTCTACACTCCAGAATAGGTATCAAATTTCCATGATGGACACATCGGGATGACGAGCATATTGATTAATAAAATGTTCACTGTTGACTAAGTATTTTATTGTACACCTCCCGATGTCTTTACAGATACCGTAGTTTGCTTTTTTATAAAAAAAAATTACCTGATTACAAGCTTTTAAGTATAAAAACTTCACTAACAATAACAGTTATGCAATTTTGAATGTACAGAGAAATTATATACTTTAAATAAAAAGGTTACCTGTTTTATGCAAACCAGCCTAGATTTTTAAATCTATTTAATTTGAAATAATTCTGACTGCATAAAAAAATATCTCTTCTATAGGGCCTTACCTTACATTCTTACAATAATTTCGTATATCATATCGTCTTTGACAATCTGATGTTTATAAAATTGATGAGTCCACAAGTCCAAGGTTATACAAGTAAATGTTATTACCTAGCCCCTTGGTAGACAACACTTGCCGTTGGGGCCAATACCAAGGAAAAGCATTTTTAAGCCATTTGAAGTGTAACATATTTCATTTGTTCAAATTCTACATAAAGAGAGCAAGGAAAGGCCGACTTTAGCACTGTTTGTCCTACCTTTCTTTAAAAAAAAAAACTATGTATTTCCACTACAAATGCATAATTTCAGTCTTGACTGAGTAAGTTTTCCCGATTTTAAGTTCATTGGTCAGTCTTTATTAGAGATGGTGGTAATTACATTTGAACATGGTATGATTAACTATTGCACCATGGAAGCATTTGAACAGATGGCAAGTGTTACACATGAAGGTATACAATACATCCCGCCGTGACAATCATCACGACGGCAAGAAAAGGACTAATCAATTACACAACACATTTAAGAATTTCCTTTATTTCTATTTTTTTTTTATTTTCTTATTATATGTAAATTAATTTAGCATTAAAGTATGGTAATAACTTCAAGTTTGCGTCCACCTTTTCGATTCGTAAAACAATAATATCCAACCCCACGGAATTTTAGCTCTTTCTCTCTCTCTCTCCCACACCGATGTTGATCAACAAACTTTCGGCGTTTCAGCGCAACTTAACATTATGCAGACGTTATAAGCGAAAAGAGAACAAACAAAACAAAACAAACATGAAGTTTTTGGGAGCGGTGGCGCGGCATTAGCTATATGTACTCGCCTCCAATGAATTAAATGCAGGAAAAACTTCAGGAAGTTTCCCTGACTTAAGAAGTGCAGAAGTCTTGTGTCAGCCGGCATATCTCTTATTGGAAAAGCGAGTGGCTTTCAACAACATTTATTGACAATGTTTTTATGTAAGTACCAAGCATTTGTGGTCACAACTGACTACAACACAATTGACAACATCCATGGAATTGAACCCTTAAATGTTTGGCACAACATTCTATCCAGTACATTCATGCACATTATCACTTATTACTTAGGAAGCTTCTCCAGTCTCAAGCCGCAGCCAACCGCATATTTTAACTTTAAATTATACATAATATTATGTTTTACATTTATGTAAGAGCGGTTGATTGTAAAAAAATTATATGTAGTATGATTTTTAAATCCCTATAAATGCTGAGTTGGTTTATTTGTCGAGAGCTGTGTTTGCCTTTACTGCAATAACGCATTCTTCACCACAGGACTTGAGCACAGTGCACTGAAAAGAATAAAAAATCAATGGATATAGTTCTGTTGTGCATTAAAAACTCTTAAAAATGTATTCAGATTTCTTACAGCTACACATACATATTTAAGGAATATGGTTAAAAAAATGAATGGTACTTTGATACATTAGGAGTTTGCGGCCTTGTTTATTTCATCCCTTTTTAATTCAGTTTTCCTAACAATATTGTTGTTTGGAAATAAGGCAAAGACTTTGTTACAATTAACAATCACACATGTGATGTTGGCTCCACATTATCGCCGTGAAAATCCGTAAACAGGCGTGAACGTGAATGTGGTCGGTTTTCGCGGAGTTCACGCGCGTTCACGCCTGTTCCCCGATCAGAGTCGGTATTGTGTCCCGCGACAAAAGGTTCGCGCCCTCTTCGCGCGGCGTTCACGCGTACACATCCACATTCACAGCCCCGTTCCAGTTCACTCCGGACTACAAAGGCGTACGGACGATGTATTTCAGTCATCCACCATCTTCTTATTTTGCAACGCTTTCTAACAAATTTCTTGTTTTGGACGTCTAAAAAGTGATATGTACACACACGCCACAGCAAATAAAGTTATACCAGCAGCAGCTTCTACGTTTCGCGGCGGGTTTCACAAACGATTGTAAGCATCCCGTGAATGTTAAAGGCACGACTTGTGCCGTGAATTCACGGCGTTAATGTGGAGTCTTCATTAGAAAAAAAATCCGCGTATAATTAAACTTGAAATCAAATGCCATATACACAGTAAAACAGCAAAAAATGTGATCTTGAAAAAATTAAAAAAATTGTATTTTCAATAGAATAAAATTTAATTTTTTTATAATTTTTGATATCACAAAATTAATTTTTGCTTTTGAAACGTCATTACTTTCAAATCTACTACGATTTTGCTTCGTAGTATATTTAAGAAAGTAATGATGTGCTCTGAGTAGGCTCCCAATACTTATTTATTTTATGCATGTCTATTTTTGTCCTCTAAACTTTAAATCCATATAGCAGGCTAATAATGCAAGCTCAGGTTATAGTCAGAGTTGTTCTCTACGAGTTTATTTAGCACCAACAAACTAAAGAAGTCTGTCGGAGACTCTATCCTCGATATCTTTAGCCTTGGTTACTATAAATTACACATAACATCACAATGAAATATGAAATGCATCAATAGTTCATGAATATTCGGTTCAAATTAGTATGTACGATTTTTTAAACAATAAACCTTTATGTTACTTCTTTAAACAAAACAATTTATGTAATTAGCTATTAACGTAAGCTAATATATATAAAGTATTTTGTATATAAGAATTTACATTACTAATTGTGTATATAACAAAATTAAATATAAAAATGCGGCGGTAATATATAAAAATGAATATGTAAGACATCAATGCGGCAGAAATAATCACCCCATATATCCAGTGAGTATCGTAATTATTGAAAATGGTGGAGTCCTTATAGATTAGGATAGATGGCTGTATAAACACCCGTCTTTCCAGATTTGAAATACCCAGGTCAAAGGTGCGAGACGTTTACGATCGTCAATTTACTTGCTAAAAGTATGGTAAAGGCAGTTTACACACATAAATTGCACAAGGACAATCATCAAGACCCAAGGAACAATTATTTGTAGATCATACATTATATATTGCGAGCGGGATTCGAAACCACGGCCCTCAGCAGTGCCTAATCCACTGTGCCACTGCGCCGGATAATTGCAAATCTTTCCCGCAACAGAAGGCTCCCTTGTAATAGCGACTTGTATTTACACAGTTGTAATGCAAGCGGTGATGCATTCTTATAGTTTTATTCTATAGCTGCCCGGAGTCAGGAAGTTGGCAGTATATCACCCCCATGCTTCGGAAGGCATGTAAAGCCGTTGGTCCTGCGCCTGATCTCTCTCTCTCTCTCTCTCTCTCTCTCTCCGGTCATGTAGGTTTACCGTCCCATCGGAATATGAGAGTAATGGAATAGAGAGTGCACCTGTGCTTATGCGCAAGCACAGGGCACTTATAATCCTGTCCTGTGGCGATGGCTAGTCTCCGTAGAGGCTGGCCACCGTGACCGATATTCGGTCTGGAGGACATTATTATTAGCTACAATGCATACATTAAGCGAACATATGCTACAAAGGTTATGTGACTGTTGCTCAGTCCTTACACTTTACAAAATATGTACTTTATGTTTTTAGTGTGAAAACTTTGTTACATTTGTATTTTCGGGTACCCTTTATGACTTGAGTTAGTACAATAAATGCAGTGGAACTAAATCAGTTATTGTGTATAGATGGTATATGTTTCTGCCTGGAACTACAATCTAGTTTAGTGGATTTTGATAAATGATAATACCAAAGCAATAAACCGTATTTGCGCGAGGAACACAGGCTAATGTACGCAACTAAAACAAGTTACTTATTCATGTTAATATTCTTCTTGTTAACTGCATGCAAAACTTCTTTTAGACTTAATTGTTAATGTCAAGTACCATTACGGGTATTAGTCTTTGCAAAGACTAAATTAAAGAGCATATTTTAAGTCTAAGCTTTTCTAGTTTTTTAAGTTTAAAATGTTAGGCATTTGAAGAGACGGCAGACTTAAACATTTTATTTATTAATTATTATGATAATAAAAAGACCTTCATTCCATATATTGACGTTTGGAGCTTATTCCCAAACAAGGAATGAATAAATTATAGCAATCGTTTTCTTTTGAAGTTGTGTTGAAATTGTTAACTCTGGTTTATGCATACTTAATGTACATAGTGGATCAATAACACGGCAAGTCTACAGGACTTTTTAGAATATATAAGCAATGTAATGTGAAACATTAGATATCATTGCGTATGGCGCATGTTTATAATAAGGTAAGATGTGGCGACATCGGTTTTGGAACTGAGGTTAATCGAGGGCTAATTCATTTCTATTGTCTTATTATTAGGATTTCTGTGGTGATTACTTACGAAATAAATATATTTTATGTCGTAATACAAAAATATCGCGGTTAAAGACAACTTATGAACTTTTGATGATTATACTTTCTTTGATCAAAAATTATCCAACCAAATTCCGTTCTTTGCTGTGTCATATTTATAAAAACTAAAATTAATCTAGTATTGAACTTGAACTACTGTTAAATAAGGTCAATAATTCTAATATGTATATAAATTAACTGATTGTAGTTAATTTATACTAAAGTATGGATGTAAGTTACCTGAAAGGATTTTCAATTCAAATGGTATAAAAATATGGGTAATAATTCTGTAAAAGAAAATTCTTTGGAACAATTGAGTAGCTACTTTGAAAGTGAACTAGAAGTTATTGTAATATATTGCTTCCAACTCAAGTAGAACAGACAACCGGTAAACATTTTTTTTTGAGTATAGTGGATAATATTTTGATTCCATTTTTTTTCATCTTATTTTGGTTTTTATAAATGATATAATACATATTTTAAGGCAGGGCTCTCAAACTCGATGTTCTATAGGGTCATTTACAAAATTAAGAGTATAAATGTGGGTGGAAGTCAAAATAAATGAGCAAATAGAATCTTGATTTAGGAAATGAAGTCGGTCCGCGCGTGAGCAAAAAGGTGTGCAATTTAAAGGACGTAAAGCAACCGCATTATCAAATTTACTTAACTTAGTTGTAATAAGTAGGTATTTAAAATATTTAGACTGTGTTGTGGGTTGCTTGATAATATCTGGATCTGGAAATTTTAATGACAGGCCGTATGTTTCACTTATGTATTTATACATCAGAAAACTGGAATTGTAGAACTTATAAAACCTGTGGTGTTAATTAATATCTTTTAACAACTCACCAGCAACTCCTTGCCGCTGTCGAAATCGGAGCGAAGTTGGGTGCCAAGATCGCCATCGGGTATCTTAAGGTCCTCGCGCAGGTCACCGTTGTCAGCCATCAGGGTCAGGTATCCGTCGTCGGATATGTCGGTCAGTTGGTAGTCCTCACGCTTCACGTGTGGCACGTCCATGTTGTGGGTGGAGGGGCATATATCTTCGTATCTGAATGCGAAAATTAAAATATAAAAAAAATCATTTATTGAAATCTCTTCTTTAAATACCATTCATGAAATCATGATGCAGGATTATCTCATAATAATAAAGAAATTAGTCAAATAAACTTTTAATTTAATTTAAAAAAACTTTATTGCACTTAAAATGTACAATTGGCGGACTTAATGCCTTTAGGCATTCTCTACCAGTCAACCATGGGCTAAGCAGAGAACTTTAGCAGATGCCATAAAATATGTGGATAATTTATACGTAAATGTAAATATATAAATAGACATACCATAAGTGTAAATACAAAAATAAATATACACAACTACAATTAACCTAAGTAATATATGATACATTTCATACATAATGTTTAAATAGTACATAATACACACATTTTAAGTATACTTACATACGAACATAACTAAAACAAATTAAATAATTTAAGATGTCAAGTCACATATAAGCAGAAACAAATATGAAAGTTACTTGCTGGAAGAAGAAAGGTAGTGATCAGTCACCATCCTCTTAAATGTGGCAACAGAAGTCGGTTTTCTGATATGAGGGGGTAATTTATTCCATAGCCTTATGGCCTCAGCGGCGAAAGACTGAGACATAAATTTGGTACGGTGAGGAAAAACACATAATGTAGTTCCCTCGGAGGATCGCAGGTTACGATCGTGAGAAGAACCCAAATACTGAAACTTGCATTTCAGGTATTGGGGAGTGCATGGATCATATAGGATTGAAAAAAGCGTGCGAAGAATTTTGATACATCTACGCTGATGGATAGGGAGCCATTTAAGCTTAGAACGATATATGGATACATGATCGTATTTACGAAGGCCAAAAAATAAAACGGATGCAATTATTTAATAAACGATCCAATTTGCACAGAAGTAGTTGACTCACATCAGAGTAACACACATCAGCATAATCAATGAGTGGTAAAACAAGCACTTGCACCAACATAGCCTTAGTCTCGGTTGGAAGGAAATTCTTGAAACGATAAAGGCCACGCAGGGTGATTGTCACTCTCCGGCTTATTTCAGCCAGCTGAGAACGCCAACTTAAATTAGCATCAATCATTAACCCAAGGTCTTTAACTACTTGACTAAGAGGAATAATTGTGCTATTGTAAACAATAGGCTCCAGTGAATTAAAATCTAATTTAGCTAAACGGCGAGGACTACCGAGAATTATCGCTTGACATTTAACAGGATTGACAGCAATTCCATAATTTCTGCACCAGTCACAGATAAACCTTGTAACAATTCCTGAAAGTTGAAAAGTAACTGCCCACATACATCCTACTGCTAATTTCTGGGAGGGTTATGGAGCAATTCACCGTGTAGAGGCGGTGTAAGAATATCCATTAACCCGTATCGTCCCTTAGGTGTCATCGTAGTAAGATGTGACAGAGGGAAACTGAAACAAGAGATGGGCTGCAGCATCCTCCTGATAACAACTCGAAATAATAAAAAACTGCAGTTGCCAACCAGCCTGCCAAACATGGCAACTATGTCAAAATCGTTCTATGAGTTAATTTATGGGGGAGTATAACTTTCACTAAAGGCTGTAATGGAAGGAGCAATTAATCCGGCGTGGTGCTCCAATGCGTGTTAGCAAACCACTTGTCCTCGAAATATTTTACAACTTAGACATACAGATTTTCTCACGATGTTATCCTACACTGCACTGTAACCAATTGTAACTGTGAACAAGTGGTAAATCAAGAGGTCAGCACTAACAATCTAAGGTGTTAAGGACTCTCATTAGATAAAATTAAGGGTATAAAAATACTACACCACATGCATAATTGGTGGTAAGAAGCCGTGGTAGCTCAGGGACTAAGCGTTCGCTGAAAATTTCACAGTACGCGAGCAACCCTGATTCGATTCCCGCCGGCACCAATAAAATTGTTAATTGCAGTTTTAAGTGTTGAATTACTGAGCGTTCGGCGGTGAATGAAAACCTGAGAAATAAGAAAAAAAAATTACGAAGACATGTGAAGTTCGCCAACACGCATTGGAGCAGCGCGGCGGGCGTTTCTTTGCGTTAAAAACTCTCTCATAAATGAAAGCCGGCCTGTGCCAAAAACAGTAGGACATATTATATAGACTGTAACTTTATTTTACTTCTACATCTTTTCTTAAAATACCACCCGTAATTATGATGCAGCAGGTCAATCTGATTATAATGATGTAATTTAGTAAATTTTTATTAAGGCAACAATTCTTTAAACAAGTATCAAAAAGTTATACTATACAGGATTTAGTGTCATGATGTAGTATAGTATAAACACGGAAGCACATTGCACATTTAATGAAACTTTAAACACTATCTGGACTATATGCAGTTATATGGACAAGGTCTGTACATTTTAACTATATAAAGTCTGTTCAGTGAAAGTTGATAAAAAAGCAGGCCTCCTAAGCTGATTACAAATTGCGGCCCGCTAATTATTTTTGCTGTTAGATAATAATATATCAGCTTGGTCTCCTGCTTGACAACAGTAACTGTCTCATACCACGAAACTATGGTTGCAGCGATAAGCAACGTCCGTTATACAAATTATGATACTTAAGAGGATATAGTAAGTCAGCTAAATTCTAATTTCGCCCCCACTTCCCCGCGTATCGTATACATAGCAACCGACATGTTTGTAATCAATAATACTGTAAGTAGATAGGTCGATAGATACTTATTTCATTAGGTTTATCATATTTATGCTTGTTTCTTAAAGCCAACCAAGTCGCTTCTTATTTTTATTACGGTTATTTCCCATTTTAACTTTACGTCGTCCTGTTGCGTAATGTGTATTCTGATCGTAAGCGACACATCTTCCCCCTTCAAAGACCGAAGCGAAACTGACCGGGAGGCAGGAATCAAGCTTCAAGATGCCGATAGTTTAGGTAATTTCTTTTTACAGTGAAAATAGTGGTATTTAAAAAAAATATAAGCACTGCTTTATAGTTAGTTCAGTTAGTATGCAAAGTTTCATGATCTTATTTAAAGTATTATGTGAATAACAGCGGTTTATTGTTTATTTTAAAGGTAACTGGATTTTTTCAATCGAGAAAATTTTACGGAATCGTGTTTTCGTCCTCCTCTTAATCGTCAACTTTACCATATATTTATTTCAAAATTAATGCTGCAATATTTTCTGTATAACGGAGGATCTTAGTTAAGCCATTTAAGGTTATATTTCCCCTTAAGACACAAACACATTTTGCGAGATGATTTCATAATACTTATCGACTCTCACCAAAGAAACTTTAGACCAGAAATTTTGCTTTTTCTCATTTGGCAATTTTAGCTTGTGCTGGGCTAGAAGCCAGATATCGCTAATAACTAGGTTAATTAGATATCCTATTACAAGATCAGCAATGATTCTTTAGGTTTGTATTCCTGGACGGTGATCCCAAGGCGCAAGAGTGCTTTGAGACGCATAGTCGGAACTAATTTTTAATATTCGAGTACCCTCAGCACAAGAACAATATTAAATTGCACTTGCGACTCTATGGGCTCGTAACATTATCGTAGGATGCTATTAAATGATGAGTCATAGCGTGATTATTTAGATTTTTCATCTCAAGGTTTTATGAGCATTACACCAGATAAGAGTGTATTTTCGCGAATATACGGACTATGATGTCCATTGCATCTAAAAATTGCGAAAATCTCTCATAAAAACTTTATTATGATCGGAACTAAATAGCGAACGTCATTATTAGCAGGGCTGGCAACGTTTAAAAGTTTTACATTATAATCAATCCTAACTAATTTTTTTTCGTACTTTTTAAAACTTTTTATTGGCTACATTATAATTTTAAGGTATATTGTAAATTGTGATGGCAATTCTAGCTGGCGGCTGACGGGTATTACCCCGTACAGACTATAATGAGCGAACGAGTAAGGTATTTTTCTATTCTGAGTAAATGGGAAAGGGATGAAGATATTTCGCTCCGCTTGTATTGTACTGCGGTATTTTTCTTATTGTCATTGTAGATTATTCAGTGAGACTGTAATGCCTAGTGAGTGATAGATAATTTGATTGAGTTTCGTTCGTTTAGTATTTATTTGTTTGATTTATTATCAATCTGGAATACTCTGGATCTGCATTCTGCCTGCCTGCCCTTCCAAAAGAAAGAATGTCTACAGGACGAAAAAAGGATTCGCTTTGACAGTACTTCACAGAACTGCCTGCATCTACAACAGGAGGTGGTGCAAAAACACTCAGAGTGAAGTGCAAGTATTGCGGGAAAGACTTGGTAGGGTTAATCGCCCTAACGTGGGCACATCTAACAAATTGTTCAGATTATGCGGCTAAAAAGTCAAGCCCATCGACTTCGACAGCAAGAATCCAAATCCACAATGATTCAAGTGAGGATGGTAAGTAAATACTTGTATTTTTTATAATATGTTTGTTGCTTTGTAGATATCTAATACCAACTTAAAGTATATACATTTCAAACGCAATGTTATTCTGTATATCTGTCCCTTAGTGAAATTGAAAGGACATAGTATAGTTATTATGCCAGAAATCAAACTTGAAGGGGGTGAAATGAAAGGGGGATGAAAGTTTGTATGGGGAGCCAGTTTTTCCACGCAGACGAAGTCGCGGGTACCCACTAGTATTGTATATAAATGTGCGCCGTTTATAATTTGATCTCACTATTTTTATTTATACAATTTTTAACTTTATTTTGAAATGTACCATTAAACAGGTGCAAATAAATCCTTATTCAAATTTAATCTTCCTGAAATTTATTTTTTACCTAAATACATAGTTAGTTACACTTTTTGTGTGTAAATATATATATTGTACAGTTTTCTTTTTCACAGACAGTGAGGCAGATGGAATCCAGACCAATGTTGAGCCTATTAGCAAAAAATCGAGGCAGGACTCATCAGCGTCGTCAAGTCGCTCAATAATGTCGATGTCACAATATGTAGTGAAAACATCAGAACAAGAAAAGCATAAAATAGATTTACAAGTTGCCAGATACTTTTATGCAATGAACACTGCATTCCGACACTCTGAGCATCCAGAATTTGTCAGTTTGATGCAATTAGCTCGACCAGGCTATGTACCACCTAAAAGAAAAAAAAATTGGCGGAAATTGGCTAGACGATTGTATGGTACCGTAAAATCAAATATGGAAAACAATTTGAAAGGAAAAGTGGTTTGTATGGCACTGGATGGTTGCAGTAATATACGCAATGAACCTATTGCGTGTGTTAGTGTAACCACTACTGAGCATGATGGTAAAGTTTTTCTCATAGATACAATAGATACTACTGACAAAAGTCACACTGGTGATTATCTTTTGACTCTGGCAGTCGACAGCATTAAAAAGTGTCAAAGATTTGGTTGCCATGTGCGTAGCTTTGTAACAGATAACACTTCCAATATGGCAAACAATTGACGGAGTTGAAAGATAGTGAGATAGGCTATATTATCACATATGGATGCTCTGCTCATTTATTGAATTTATTCGCCATAGACACAGATATAAAGTACTTCAATTATCAACATTTTCCTGGAGCAAAGTACAGGGAAGCTGGTGGAAAGGCGCTTATACTACCTCAAGATGTGCGTTAGAATACATTAGCAGACTGTCTCGAGTCATAAGTTAGTAATTGGCATTGTCTTGCTAAAGTATGCAGCGAACACAGCTCTGTAATAGACATAATAATCGTAAGGGATACTCAAGATGTTGAACTAAAAGAAAATGTTGAGAACTATCTTAGAAAACTTAAAAAAATATCAATTGCTTTTGATGATGTACAGAAGGAAATGTGTGTCCTAAGCGATTGTACACATATATGGAAGGGCCTACTCTCGTCGAACTGGCTGCTAGAAGAAGCCAACAAGCTGAAAACAAGATATAAAGCTGCAATGACACCTGCACATTTTGCCGCTCATATATTAGACCCCAAATATAGAGGTGAAGGACTAGATCAAGAAGAAGACACAATGGGTATGAAGATGGAGTTCATAGATTTAAGCTATCTGCAGGCAATGAAAGATGTCCTCACGTACCGTGCGATGAGTTTTCCATTTAAAGACTACATGTTTAAGGAAGATCTTTTAAAAAGAACTCATATGTCCGTGTGGTGGAGATCGCTGGGAAGTAAAATAGATCCGGGAATTATAGATCTCACAAATCAGTTATATACAGCCACTGCGTCTTCTGCCGGAATCGAGATTATTTTCGACTTTTGGGCTGGTGCACTCTAAATTACGAAACAGACTTGGCACCGAGAAAGCAGCAAAATTGGTTGCAGTAATGAGGGCGCTCAATCCAGGCAGCAGTGGCTCATCATACGTGGACGAGGACAAGGTCGAGGTCGAGGAATGAACAGTTTTATCATTATCATACAATCAATATAAGTACCTACTCAATCAATAACAAACAAAACGTAATGAATATGATTGATTTGATAGGATCTAGATCTACCTACCTCATATGTCTATGTCAATAATTGTCACTGTCAGGTCAGACAGAGTTGATTATTCATTTTTTGTTGAAGAAATAAGTACTGTTTTTGTTCTGGTGTATTGTTTTACAATAAAAAAATTCTTTCATATTTTATGGTTTCTTTTAATTTCTACCTTCCCCTATTTATCCCAATCGCAAAACAATTCATTTATTAAAAGTCTTAAAAAAATGTTTTAAGCATGTTTTAAACGTGTTTAAAACATTTAAGAAAAATTGATTTAAAACATGTTTTTTTTGTTTTTTGATTTAAATATGATGTTTTGTTCTTTAAAAAAAACTGTTTTTTTTTTCAACCCTGATTATTAGATACAATTATAGTTAACACAAATAATAAATGTGCAGCTTTTCATATTTTATTTTGTTGTATAAAGTAAATACTATTTCAAATCCTAGGTTTACCTTGTGTATAAATGATTTGTTATGAAGTAATAAAATAATAGCAACATATAATATAATGTTCAGCATAAAATTACTTTAAGCATATTTGGTTAGATCAATAGTTGTTTCTTTATTAGTTAATCATCATTACAGCCCTTCACAAGTGCACTGCTGAACATAGGCCTCCCCCAAGGAATACCACAAAGCACGGTACTGAGCCACCTGCATCCATCGACTTCCTTAGTTAATGAGAGTAAACTTAAAAGAAAATTTAAATACAAAAAAAAAATATGCAGACCTTCCAACATGTAAAAATAGACTAGTGTGAAAAAAGTGTAATAAGTCTAATTTGTTTTAATAAGAGCCCAGTAAGAAGATGAATTATTGTATTAAAATATGTATATGGGCCATAGCATCCACTTACCATCAGGTGGACTGTGTGCTCGTTTGTCACCCAATGGTATAAAAAATATTCATTAAAGCATGTGCCCACGTCACAAAGGATGATAGAAAAAACAAAAATTGATTATGGATAACTTTGAAAGAGACATTAATTTTGACTGCATTATCGAGAATCAAATAATAATAATTAATATAAACAACGACATCCCTACAAGTTGTACTGAAAGTGATTGAATAAATTTATTTTTAATCTAGTTTCAATCTTAAATTTTTATAAACGTGCCTCTAGAAATAAACAGTAACCACAAATACGAAGAAACTGATAAATCTTGTGTTTTAAATTATCCGTTTTTAATTTATTCTGGTATTATTCAAACCAAACTGTAAATGATTACCAACTCCAAATAATCGATATAGATTTTTTTAAGAATCGAATATTTTACGTTCCCATTTTTTGGTTGGCATGCTTGGTGCAATAAGTCTGACAGCTGTCAAAAGGTATTTCTTAGATTTGGTTGACTATAATGTCTGAAGCAGATGTACATGTATCATTGAATAATGTTATAGATTTTCAAAATTACAATTCTATTAACAATGTATAAAAACTTACTTTTTTCCATTGAAAATATCAATTCCGACCAAATGAACCTTGGCGTGACCGTGCTTTCCAGTTTTGGAGGTAGACATCTCGACGATTTTGCAGGGGCGCCCTTTCAGCATTACGAATCCATTTTTGCGTAGGGCAGAGCACTGCATGGGGAAGGTTGCGGAGGCTCCGGAGTCTCCGGTCTCGAAGTGTGTGTCCTCGATGTCACCCATTGTGTTGTTTTAAGGAGTTTAACTATGGTTTGAAATGATCTGTAGAAGCAAATAGAAAAAAATCAAATGTTTTCATACTTTAATGATTTACAAATTAATGTTCTCTAAAAATGTATCTAAAAATATCATTTGAGAGTTTGAGACTACCTAGATTTTGTAATTATGGTTACCGCCATACAAGGTTTTCTGGTTTTCTGGTTTTAAGATTTATAATTTCGATGGTCTCAAGAGCATGAGGTGGTTAAACTATGAAACATAGAAGTGATCTACAAAAATGGAAGAAAAACTTTAATATTTGTAGTAAAATAATAATTAGAATAAAAAAGAATATTTTTAATTTAACTTTCACTAAATTGGTCAATTTTTTTCCACTGGCTTCCAAAAACATCTGTCTTGGATATGGAAGGAGCCTAAAAAAAGTTTATAAAACAATATAGATGATTCTTTCTGCATGTCTGTTTATATACTTTCTTGATAGGTAAAATTAAAATGGGCAATAATGGTAAGTTTTTTAATTCCATTCTTAATCTTCACAACTATTAGTTACTCTTATTGCTGTTTATATATGTTAATTACTCTATTTTAGTATTAATAATGTGCGTAAATTTAATGCCCTGATACTATAAGTATTGACCTAGAACTTTACTAAAATTATTTAACATTCTCTTTTATTATATCATTTAAGAAAATGTTAAATGAATTATTAATTATTAAAATTGACAGATGTTATAGTATCATAATCTTAATAATGGCAAAAAATTCAGACATACTAATTTTAAAAGCCACTGTGTTCCTGTACGGTGATCCCAATATACAGTTGTATAATGAGACGCATAGTCGGACTTAGTGTTTAATTTTCGAGTACCCTCAGCACGAAAGTATTATAGAAACTACATTCGCGACTCTATGGGCTCGTAAATAAAATTGCTGTTTTATTCTTTAGTCCACTAAATATTATCTATCATGAGTGGAGGTCTAAATGCTGTTGTGGACTGTTAGTGTTATGAGCGGTAAAAGTAATTTATAATCTATATTGAGTGAAAGATTATTCTATTCTAGGCTAATAAAGGAAAATATGAAACTAAATCCTAGATTAAATTAATACAAAAGTACAAACTACAACACTAATTTTGTACTATCAAGCATTAAAGACATGGAATATAATAAAAATATCATAAATTAAATAGCATCTTTAGCAAAATCTTTGAGTGTACTATAAATTTAAATACATTGTTCAAGTATTGATTTGTCACATGAAATTGGTCATTAAGGATGATCATTTTCAGTTTAGGCGGGTCAGGGGTTAGTCTACTCTATACATTTTGACATTATCAGTAGGACTAGATTAACACCTATTCTGCTCTCCTGTCTGACGAGCAGTTGGGCGAATGGCTCTGGGGGGAGAGCGCAAATCATGTTGATCCTCAGGGTAAGTCTATGGAGTTCTTCCTGCATGTGGTTGCCAAGTGTTATTTGGTCTGGTTCAATAGGAAACAGACAGAACAGAAACACTCAGAAATTCCTCTCCTTCTTTTCTTTTATCCCACCCTCTTTTTCCTATCCTAACCCAACCCAAGGTGTCAAGCGTACCGTGCCGATGGATGCGTGGCTGGATGGATGGGAGTTCAGTTGCAAATGGTGCCTACCTGAGACCAGGGCCATTCAGGTAGTATTTTGCAAACAGTAATGAAAAATCTCCTCTAATGAAACTATAGGTAGGTGTAGATTTGGAAGAGGGTCTTTTAGCCTCGCCAATACCCGCAACACTACGCCCCAACTTGGAACAAGCCGTGAAGTGGAGGGCACGTCTGCAGCCAAACCACAATCGGAAACAAACCAGGGAGGGGAAAAGAAAAAGTTCACTAGGCCTTATAAGCTTAGTGAGGCAACAAGGAAGAGGGTAGTACCAAAGGCTGATAACAGCCGTGGAGACAGACCCTCTCTCTCCGCCTGAAACCCTGGGACGAAATTCCTCTGACCAAATTTCCCCCAGTTCCGAAGGCGAAAAAACGCAGTCGGTCTGAGGAAGAGCCACCAAAGACCAGCCCAGGAGTGAAGCTGGCAATGGGGGAGAAGAAGCTCACCTTTAGTGCTGTAGCTGGCTTCGCACGTGTAGGAATTCGCAATTTGAATACTATGAGTGTGGAGCAGATGCGGCTGGTCCACCGGGCACTAACACAGGCCATCGTTAAGATGGCCTGTAGGGCACAGCCGGGAACGGGTCCAAAATTTTCGGGTTTCACTCACAAGCCAGGTTGGATTCTGGTAAGGTGCCTGAATAAGGCTAGCCAGGACTGGATTGTGGGTGAAATCAGAAAACTAAAACCCTGGCCGGAGGCAGAGCTCTCGATAATACCCGAGGGCGAAATGCTTAAGCCTCAGTTGGTTATTTGCCCCGCAGCGAAGCTGACTCTCCAGAGCTATTGAGGGCACAAGATGAAGAGCTCCCATACCGAGCTCTAGAGAATCCTACACCTTAGAGACAAGGAGAATGGGTTCCTAGTAACCTTTTCTCTGGACGACCCATCGGCGAAGACTCTTCAGAAGGCAGGAGGCAGTCGTCCTTGGCTTAAAAATGATAACTTTTAAAGTCAAGGGAGGCTCTGACGTGATAATGGAGCCTGAACTGCACCAACTCCAATCCCCCAGCCCTTACCTCTCAGGATGAGACTGGAACGCCATCAGTGAGAGTGACGAAATCCTAAGGCGCTGATCTCACCTCGGTCCGACGGCCTCCTCTGGTGTCGTCCAGGCCTGGGGGGAGGGGAGGTGGGAGCGGTTTGACGAAAGGTAAGGTGGGTGTCAAGTGCGCAGGTAAAGGACATCCTCGTCCTCAACAGGCGGAAAAGACCCCTGCCCCCCAACGCCCATAAATGGCTAACCCCAAGAATACGAGGGTCCTCCAGGCAAATCTTTACAATGCAGCAGCTGCATCTGTCATGGTGGAGGTTTGCTTTGCAGAGGACAACATTGAACTCACCCTCATACAAGAGTCTTGGGTGGCCAATGGTCAAGTTCTGGGATTGTCAGCTACCTGTAAGATTCTTGTCAATACTAAAGGCAGTAGACCCTGAGCTTGTATAATTTACAACAAAAATATTGAATTTTTATATTTTTATTATTTCTGTTCCAGTGTACTGCAATGATGACCTGGTTTTAGCCTTCATAAATCTCAAGGGATGCACAGGGGCCAGAGTAATCATTTGCTCAGCCTATCTTCCCGGAGAGAATTCAGATCCTACCATTGAGTTAAAGCGAGCGGCGGAGTTCACCCGAAAACACGACGCCGAACTTGTGGTGGGTTGTGATGCTAATGCTCACCACAGCCTGGGAAAACACATCAACAAAAGAGGTAAGTTACTTTATGATTTTCTCATCTCCAACCCCTAAGCCTTAGGGTGTACACCAACCTTTGTAATGCATCCTAGGCAAGAAGTGTTAGACATATACTTTGCTACCAATAACATGTCCAGGTGCATAAATGACTGGCATGTTAGTAGTGAAAAATCAATGTCTGATCACAAACACATTAAGTTTGTGATTGAAATTGTGATGAAACTGTCTGAATGGCCAGGTGTGAGGTCAGTAGCATCATATGATATACCGATGGGTCTAAAATGGACCTCAATGTAGGCTTTGGAATTTATGGGGAACGCCCCAAATTCAAACTTAGTATGAATTTGGGTAGATTTACCTCTCTTCCAGGCAGAAATTTTCACCATACTTCAGTGTGCAGAAATCAATCTGCAAAACACTATGTCAGCCATATAAATTATATAAACTGATAGTCAAGCAGCACTGAGATTAAACTTAGTGAACTCGAAGCTAGTTAGACTGCGTGAACAGTTTTAAATGCTATTTAAAAAAAAAAAACATCAGAAGCATTCACGATTGACACATCTAGTCTTCAGGGATCTGGAGTAACAACATATAAACTTTTTGATTTGGGCCATATCATACACATACCATCCATCAGGTGAACTGTTCACTCATTTGTCACCCTTACTTTTATTAGACCTAATACAGCTTCACAAAATAACATCAACAAAAAAAGACAAGCTTATAGGGCAAGTGCAAGACTAAGATTAAAAAGTAACTGCTAACAGTCTATATAACCAATGTAACCTTGGATCAGTTAACTGTAGACCATGACTCAGTAATGTAAAGAAAAAAATTAGCACATAGTTCACTGGCCTGTGATATGTCAATGAACTACAACATTAAGTCTTACACATTCTGAGAGAAGGTTCATAAAAACAGTAGTGATTAGGGTACCTTATCACTTTGTGTAAATCTACTGCTAAATAATATTAGACTTTAGAAAACGTAAACAACATGCATCAATCCTAAGCTGATTATTTTATTTTATCCAGGTGATCCTGATTAGGATACTAGGATAAGTTATTAAAATTATTGTATTGTCATCAGTCCCTGATATGCAAATACCTTGTCTTTTTTTATTTTTATGGGTGTTATTTGTCAAGTATCCAGATACGGATATTTGTACAACACATGCAACTTAACGGTACACATCACTGGTGTGCAAATCTATTTTGTTTTAATTTATTATTAAGAATAAAACTTTACACATTATGAATGTTGAAAAGAAAAAACAAATAAAAAGAAATTAATGTTGGAAACTGTACTGTCAGTTACGTCACAGCACAAGGTGCACAGTAAAGTTGCACGGGTTGTATAGACTACACACCACCTGGATATCCTCTTAATACAAGTTTGTGTCACATAGACATACACATATTTACTACTAAAATGTAGTGCTTTGTTTACTTGCCATCAGAATATAGGGAACATGAATAGACAGAAATGGTACATAATAAAATAGTACATATAGTATGAAAACACATTCCAGCATTGATCCTATTGAATAAATAGTCTACCAT